CATACTAAAATCTATAGGCCTAAAGAAGCTAAACAATAAGGAGAACCAAGGGAAGATGCTTAATCTTCATTCAGAGGGGCAAACAGGATAAACATTGAAAGTAGAAGACAGGAAAAAGGACAGGAGCTTTCCACAGAGGGCCTCTGAAATACATTACCCAGCAGGGTATCAAAGCAGAGACTGAGATTCATAGCCAAACTTTGGGCAGAGTGTGTGGAATCTTATGAAAGATGGGGGAGATAGAAAGACCTGGAGGGGACAGGAGCTCCACAAGGAGAGCAACAGAGCCAACAAATCGGGTTCCACAGAAGCCTGCAGGAACTGATACACCAACCAAGAACCATGCATAAAAAGGACCTAGACCCCCTGCTCAGATGTAGCCCATGGGAGCTCAGTCTCCATGTGGGCTTCTTAGTAAGGGGAGCAGGGGCTGTCTCTGATATGGACTAAGTTACCTGCTATTTGATCACTTCCACCTAGTGAGGGGGCCATTGCCAGGCCACAGAGGAAGAAGTTACAGGCAGTCCTGATGAGACTAGGTAGGTTGGGGTCATATGGTAGGGGAGGAGGGCTCCCCATTTCTAAGAAATAGAGGAAGGGGATAGGGCAGAAAAGAGAGGGAGGGTGGGACTGAGAGGAGACATGGGAGGGGGCTACAATCAGAACACAAAGTAAATTAAGTATAAAAAAGAGACTGATACTGCAAACATGGACCATGCATGGAGATAACCTAGAACCCCTGCACAGAAGTAGCCCACGGCAGCTCAGTGTCCAAGAGGGTTCCCCAATAATAGGAACTGGGACTATCTCTGACATGAACTCAGTGGCTGGCTCTTTGATCACCTCCACCTGAGAGGATAGCATCCTTACCAGTCCACAGAAGGAGACAAAGAAGCCAGTCCTGATGAGACCTGATAGACTAGGGTTAGAGAGAAAGGGGAGGAGGACCTCCCCTATCATTAGACTGGGGGAGGGGCATAGGAGAAGAAGACGAAGGGAGGGTGGGATTGGGAGGGAATGGGGGAGGAGGCTACAGCTGGAATACAAAGTGAATAACTTTAATAAAAATTTTTAAAAAACGAAGAAAAATCTTGCGTTGTTTCTGAAAGTTTTACTAGTGTGCTCTTATGTCTGAACGCCCCTTGATGTACACAAGATGCTTGCACCTTCCTTTCATTTCCTTCATCTTAGCCTAACTTACGAGATACTTGAGTGACTGTCCACTTATTTTTGCCTATGGACAGCTTCCTACCAAAAGAGTTATTACTGCATTCTCTACTATGACATCTATATCTGAGCATCTGCTTTCTACCTAATAAGTGTTCCATAAACATTCGGTGAAATCATTTTCAATAACAGAGTCAGTAAAATAATGCCCAAAACTTATTTTATTCTTTTTACATCAGGTAATTACTGTGCATGTTATATGAATAACCTCAGTCTTGACCACTTGGCCATAAGATTTGTATTATGGTAACTGTAGATCAGCATAGTTGAGAGTAGTGAGTTAGTAACCTGGGCCCATAGGATCTCACAGAGACTGAACCAATGACTAGAGAGCATTCACGGATCTGACCTAGGCCCTCTGTACATAGGCTACTGTTGTATAGCTTGGTCTTCATGTGTGACTAACAGCAGGAGCAGAGTTTGTCTCTGACTCCGTTGCCTACTTTGGGAACTCTTTTCACCTACTAGGCTGCCTTGTCGAGTCCCAGTAGAAGAAGATGCACCTAGTCTTACTGCAAGTAGATATGCCAGGGCTGGTTGATATCTACGGGAGGCCTCTCCTTTTGTGAAGAGCAAACAAGGAGTAGATGGAAGAGAGAGGCAGGAGGAAGAACTGGAAGGAAAGTGGGAAACTGAGGTCAGGATGTAAAGTAAAAATTAAATTAATTACTTAATTAACAAAAGAGTTGTGATTGATAAAGACAAAGCCTTGGCTTTTTGAATTCATGGCCTCAAGTGTTTTGCAAATCAAATACAAACCCTGATATATAGAAAACCTGACCAAATATATTATATTCTAGTAGATATTTTGAAGGTTGAATATACTTAAAGTTTGTAACTGTACATTTCATTTTCCACATTTTAAAAAAATTATTTAACTAGAAGCAAGCCTCTAAATGAATCAAACACATCCAAACATATCAAATATATGTTTGCCATTTAAAGAACATAATTCCCCTTGGTATGGTATTACATAACATCCTGCGAGGGAAAACAGATAATTATGGGCAACATTAGCCCCAGTAGAAATTGTCACAGAAAATGCTCCACAAATGAGCATCAGTAAGAACGGAAATCCTTATGGTGCTGTAAATATAGTAAGGTCTGCACGATGGTGTTCAGATTCTCTACCTGGGTGAAGTCACTGACGTTCCTAGAGACCTGGATAATTACAAGGAGAAAGTCTTCATGAAGCTCCAGAAGGGAGGACTGGACTGCGTGAAAGTCAAGATCCGAAAATGCTGGGGCTGAGAAACTCAGTAGTTCAGAGCACTCATTGCTTTTCTAGAAAACTTGAATTTGATTCCCACCACTCACAGATTGGCTAACAACTGTCGGTATGTAGCCTCAGTTTCACTGGATCCAACGCCCTCTACTGTCTTCTCTGTGTGCTAGGAATTCATATGCTATACACAAATACATGCAGGAAAAACACCCATCCCCATGCGACAATAACAAAATTAGATTTCAAAAGAAACTCATTAATTTATTGAGTAGGACTTAGAAACTTTCGAAGTGTAGAAGATAGAATAAAAATTTGAAGCAGAAATTGAAATTTATTCTGGAATATTTAATAAATTAAATGTGACTTGTCTGCAAATAGAAGTACATAATACATAGATCCAAATATACCTATGAGTCTATAAAGAAATCACTAGGACTGTCCAGGTTTGTGGGTCTCTGTTACATTTTGTTTCCTGTGGCCATTTTTCCCTCTCCATGAAACAAATATTGGCATCATACCAAACCTATAAACTGCCAGTTTACATTTCCTCAAAACAAGTTACCTCATCAGACTACATTTTTTGCCCCAGTATCTGAGATGTGATTGGTTAGTAGAGAAAATTGTGATTTTTATGATTTATCCTCAAAGTGAATACACAGAAAATTGAAAGGCCTAGCTTGTTTGTCCTATTTTAAATTGTAAAACGAGATTATGACAAGACCTGAGAAAATACAGAAGTCTTTTCATCTCATGAGCCACTGTGTCACAACATCAAAAGATATCCAGAAAAGCAATGATGGTGATTTATTTTCATAACAATTTCATCACTCACTGGGCCTGCATACATAATTCAGGTTTGATCTTGTAAGCTCTTTGGATAGCATTTTGCATGGATAACTCAAAAGGAAGAATAGCACTTGAAGAATAAGAGCACACCCTCTTTTTGTTTTGGGGGTTAAGAAGGAACCTTACATAGAATAAACAATGTTAAAGTGTTTGTTATAATGTTATTCTTTAATAGCACTTTATGTAAGTGACACTCAATCATGGCAACATAATAGCCCTGGGAAACACGTAATTCTAACTATTTGGAAAGTAGGATTTTATGAGGTGAATTGATAAATACATTAGTCACTAGAAGGAAGACATTTGTTACACAATGAAGCTCACTCTTCCATTTTTCAATGCCTGTATACTGAAGATAATATCATCGTGGAACCATAAAAATAGGAATGCCCATCAGAGGTCACCTATGTGAGCAACTTATTGATGGTAAAATTTGCCAGTTGGCATGCACATATGGTTTTTCTTTTGTGATTTGTTTTGGTTTTGCAGAGGGTTTAAATTCTTGTGCAGAATTTGGTCAGTTGAAAGAATGGTGGATAAACTCTTGCAAAAAAAATAATAAAGTGGTTTTCTGCAATGACCCTCAACTGTATTGCCATGCATAGAATTCAACAAAGCTCTAAATATCCAGTTAAATAAACACCATGGTTTGCTTGGTCTTTTATGTCTTTGTCTAGACTTTAGCTTTTTAACAGCCTTAAATACACAGCAAAGCTGACTGCCTCTACTGCATTTAGCTAGCTCAATACATGTTGGAAACTGCTATCTGTTTCCTTATTTTTCTTCAATTAGATAAGAATCATAAAATATCAGAAGTGTACTAAAGCTCTATAAAAAGCATGCTAAATAATTTTTAAGAAATGACTTGTAATTCAAATGTGAGGAAGCTATTGAGAAGCAATGAGAGCACTGAGGAAAAGTCTTTGTTTCCTAGCACTCAGGCTGATGCCCGTAGATTCCCCAAGAACAGACAGAAGAGAGCCACAATGGTCACAAGAGTGACAGCACTCTCATGTGGCGTGTGTGTTAATCTGCGGCTTCCTCCTCTCATGTTTATGAAAGCCTCTCTTACTCTCTGAGGTGCCAGCCGCTCTTTTGACTGCAGACTTCCTACCTGGGTGACTGATGCTGAATTTGACATAGAATACAAACGAAGAACACCTCACTCTTCTAGCAAAGCCGGGCAATGTCGTAACAAGTTTTTGAACATGTGAATATGTAATGTGTTCTATGCGAACACTTTCCAAGTGGGCATTTATGCAGAAGACTGAAGTAGAGAGAAATATATAATCTTTCTGAAAATAAAATCATGAACCTATATGTAAATGTAGATAGAGTGGATTCCTATATATATATATATATATATATATATATATATATATATATATATATATATCTTCCCAAAGTATAACTGTTTAAAATTATAGATGGGATATATTATGAATAATTTATATAGGCACTGGTAAATGCAAAATAATGACTCTAAAATGTATTGGTTTGCATATGCTAATGAATATACATATAATATGAATATAAACAGAAGATGGATGTTACTGGTTGGATTCAAGTTTGTACTTGAATGAAGGCTACTGGTATAAGAGTTGGATAAAAAAAAGAGTTGGATAGTTCTGTTTTCATTAAACTGGATAATTAAATTTTTAAATGATAATAACAATTCAGTAGTGTCTATCACATTAACACATACAATGTTAAAAAGGAAAGTGAAAGACATTCTCAGGGGAATTCAATGTTTTATTTTGCCAGACAAACGATTTCTTCAACATCTAATTAAATTTTCATGAGGTGACTATATCTAGTTTGCTTTCTCTACAAAGGGTGAGCATTCACTGTAATGACAGCTTCATCATGCTAAATCTATTCACAAACCTACATTCTTGGGGAAAAAGTGCATCTCTAGGTAATTCTATGTACAACAGAAAAGAAAAACATATCAAGTCATTAAATTGTCCACATACACAAAAATAAAACCAACGAGTCACCCACATTCAATATGCATTATGTTTTTGAGAAATCCATATACTTTACATTTGGCAGGGTTATGTTGGACAGTTATTTTTATATCTTTAAAAGAAAAGAATGGAGGATTTAAGACGTAATTATGGTAAAAAAAAACAGAACAGGAGGTATTAAATCAGACAAGTAATAGCACAGAACTAAACACCGGTGTCTAGCAGGCTGACTCTACAGAGAGCAAGTAAACTGTGCCTTGGAAGTCGTTTTTACTCTGGTCATAAAATAGACTGATTACAAACACAGAGGGTGGTGTTAGCAGTGCATGTAAACAAACTGCTATTTTTTGCGTATATAAGAAAAAAACCAAGATGTGAACATTTTAAGCATGCAAACAATTTGCATATGAAAACACAATAGATTACTGCGGCGCTATACACATTTGGGTGACATTTATGCCTTGTTTTAACTGTGGTTTTTTTACAACACTGAAGTGGGCTCTTGGAACATCAGAGTTTACTATCTCTTAACTAAATTTTTATCTTCTGATAATGAATGTATTACCTCCATCTTCCTCTTTCCTGCCCTCTTTGATGTCTGTCTGTCCTTCTGTCCTACCTGTCTCTCTTCCTCCCTTTCTCCCTTCATTTCTTTCTGTTTGAGCCCAGGTTCTTGTACATACTAAACATGGAATCTACCAGCAACTTACACCCCTACCCATAATTTTACCTCCTGGAGTTTTGTCTATAATACTAAGAAAAGAGGTATACCCTTATTATTACCTTTACTATGAATTGCTAATAAAAAGTGTGTTTCAATAGTGTTTTGTAAAATTTTTTTTTTCCCCTGGAAATACAAACATATATTATATGAAATTAAATAAAAATTAAAGTTGTATAATTAAGGGAATGCGAGAAAATTTCTCATATTTTACCCATTTTGTTTTTAAATTGGAGAAATTAATTTTAGTATTATACTTACCTCATAAAACAATCCAAACACAGATAATTATTAATATTAAATTTTCCATGGTTGCACAGATCCCTGAACATGAGTAGCAACATTATTAAAAAAAAGTATTACCAAATGGAAAAATGCGTGAGCAAAAGAGATACTCTTTATAAAAAGTATTCTGTTCAGACTGTGTTGAAATTTTCTTTCTTGACGAAACTTCTCCATCACACACATATGATTACAAAACCGTATCTTGCTTGAAAAATCAGTACGATATGTGAAACAAATGTAGGAATTAATCACAGAAGTTGATTGCTAAAATTGAAAACAAGCTACATGTTACAAATTCATTTACACAGCACATTTTACACTTTGATCTTAATTGTCTTTTTTGATAGCTTCACTCTCCCTGGGAACATTGGATGCTTTTAACAATGTTTCATTCTTGTTTTGTTTAATTTTCTAAATAGGCTAGGAAATTAAAATCAAAACAGTAAATCAATTAAATAATGCAAGAGTATATGTAGCTCTATAATAACTTAAATAACTTCCAAAAAAACAAAGTGCTTTTGTTTGGAAGATGATAAAGTAACAGTAGAGACGTCAAGGCCTCACTAATATATTTCCCATCAAAGGCCTGGATGAAACAGGTTATTCGTTTTTTCTTTCTGAAGCAAGAGAACAAAAATTGATGGCAGGTATCAGCAACTGACACATCTTACAATCTTAGACAAAGGAACAAGCAAGATTATAATTCACTGGAAGCATATGAAGTCATCACATTCTTTTTATGAGTCGCTCCTACTTTTATATAACATCTGGATGCTCTCTTGCCTGTCATTTGTCTAACCTACGAGACTTTGGATGGCGATTCTGTCACATGCATTTATATGACATTTACCATGTGAAAATTGTGAACTGGAATTCGTTTTCATATATAAAACCCACTGACAATCAGAAAGCTAAACCCCTAGAGCAGAAACAGCACAGGGTAATTTATGGCCCTAGCTCATCCGAGGGTGTAACAGTTCTGCTTCTGTTGAAGATGTTGAAGAAAAGACACATAAAGATATAAATAAAATCTGGGATAAGTTAAATATTTCTATGCACCATGAGGACCATGACATGTCTAGTGCTAGTCTGTATCATACAAGAAGATGCATGCTCAGTTCAGTTCACAGAGAAGGCAGGTTAGAGCGAGTCTCCAGCTTTTGTCAAGAATTTCTCATGGGTAAAGCACAAGGCTTTGCTCAGTAGTTGACCAGTGAAGACAGAGCATTTGTTGCTAGAAGCAAAGCCCCATGGGTGAACGCTCTATGACTCTGGGAGCTGATTCCTCCTGTTCCTGCTTTTCCTGCTGTTGATGAGAGCCTTCAGCTTGCCATAGTCCCCTCTCATTTTCTGTGGTTCTTCTCCTAGCTGCTGCTGCTGCCGGGTGTCCTTGCAGTACTGGTTGATGAGCTGCATTTCAGAGTGGCTGAATGCCCCCAGGATGTCCTTTGGATGAAAGGGTAGAGCCCTCACAGAGCCAGCCCATGTCCATGGGGACCACTTGTCTGTCACAACTGCCACCATTTCCGAATCTAGAACTTTGAAGTTAATCTTGGCTATGGTCTGCTTGAAGCTGTTCTCAGTGGCAATGCAGTGGTATAGCCCTTGGTCAGAATCTTGAACAGAGCGAATCAGCAGTCCTTGGGAGGTGGCTATAATGCGCTCATTCAGCTTAACCTAAGAGAGAAACATTGTGAGTGTCCCAAATCAAAGACATTTCTAAGACAGCACAGTCAACACATACAAAAATAATGGTTGACTTTCACAACTAGGGAAAAACATTCCTTCTCAGAGTACACAGCATTATGATAAGGTCCACCACATACATGCACACTTTTCTCTGCAATGTGCAATCTTGTCCCCTGGGTACTGAACTAATAAAAGAGATTATGAATTCCACGATGGAACATATGAAGTGGGTTCCTGCCTGTGCTGGCTGGTTTTATATCAATCTGACACAAGCGAGAGTTATCTGAAAGGAGGGAACCTCAGTTGAGGAGATGCCTCCATAAGATTCTGCTGTAGGTCATTTTCTTAGGTAGTTATTGACAGGGTGAGCCCTGTCCGTTTTGGGTGGCACCATCCTTGGGCTGGTGGTCTTGAGTTCTATAAGAAAGGCTGAGGCAATCAAGCAGTCTGCATGGGTGTGTGTTAGGTCCTCTGCATGAAAGTTCTGGTTGTTTAGCTTGAGATTTTTATGGGAAACCTAACCATGAGGGTGGGGTGTCTCTGAATCTTTTGCCTGCTCTTAGAACTCTTTTCTTTCTACTTGGTTGCCTCTTCTAGCCTTGATATGATGGTTTGTGCCTAGCTTTATTGCTTCTTGTTATGCCACGGTTAGGTTGATATCCCTGAGATGCTTGGTCTCCCTGAAGGGAAACAGAAGCAGTGAATCTGGGGAGAGAGGAAGTAGGCTGAGTGACTGGGCAGAGTGGAAGGAGGGGACACTGTGGACAGAATATATCATATGAGAGAAAATAAACGGAAAAAAAATTCATCAAAGTGATGTGATCTCTTTCGATTATATCCTTTTTCGGTGATTTAAAAATAAAATGATCCCTGGTAAGAAAAGAAAAATAGGAAAGTCGGCTGAGCAAGCCAAAGGAAGCAAGGCAGTGAGCAGCACTCCTCTGTGGTCTCTGCATCAGTTCTGCCTCCAGGTTCCTACCCTGTCTGAGTTCCTGTCTTGACTTCCTTGATAATGAACAGTGACGTGGAAGTGTGAGCCAAAAAGCCCTTTACTTCTCCAATGTGCTTTGGTCATGGTGTTTTATCATAGCATCTGTAACACTAACTAAGACAGTTCTCTTCAGACAAATGTAGTTCCATCTTAAATCAATAAAAAGATTGGTAGTGGTTTTGGCATCTAATTCACAGGAAATGGTTATATATTAGTGAAATTCTTACACGGTTTCTATTTAGTCCAGAAATTGTCTTTTCATTTCTACAAATTTTATTCACTTGTAAAAGCACAAAACAACTATTATGATGTTTATTTCTTTCGGTTCAATAAGCATTCTCAGTGCATGCCCTTACACACATGTGTTCACACACACAAACACATGAACACATACGCAGAACCAGAATTTTGAACGTTTTAAAAAAGTCTTCTCCAATTATCACACACTATAGAATGTCTAAAAATAAATTGCAACGACATTACCTTAGAAGACGTTCAAGAAATTTTATTTCCACAGGTAATAAAAAAAAATGTGGTAATATTTATTTACTGTAAGGCTTATAATACTAAATGATTAGTGGTCGGTATTGGCTACATACATGAGATGTGTTTGCTTTACAAGCGCAACTATTTCTATTATCAGTGAGAGACTGAGAATCCATGGGGTAGGAAGTTTTCTGACATCTATAAGCTGGATTCTCTCTCTCTGAATGAAAACAGAAATATGACCAAAATCAAGAAAGGTAATGCAATTTATGTGGACATTATTAGATTATCAAAGTTCCATACAAAAATGCATGTCATTCTTAATAAAACAAGTCAAAGGTTGTATTTAGATTTAAAATGTGTGATTGAGGGAGTTACCATTCATCATGTACCTACAGGTGCCGGCCAGCAGAGGTCAGATAATTTCAATTCCCAGAAACCGCAGTTACAGGGGTGTGTGAACTTTCCCATGTGTATGCAGGGAACTGAAAGTGTATCCTTTGCAAGATCCATTGATTTAATTAATTAATTTATTTTTATTATTATCATTTATTACAGTTTATTTAATTTGTATTCAGGCTCTGGCCCCCTCTGTCTCCTCATAATCCCACCCTCCCTCCCTCTTCTCCTCCTATGCTCCTTCCCTAGTCCACTGATAGGGGAGGTCCTCTTCCCTTTCTATTTGACCCTAGCCTGTCAGGACTGGTTGCATTGTTTTTCTCTGAGGCCTGGCAAGGTTACTCCCCCCAGCGGGAGGTGATCAGAGAGCCTGCCACTGAGTTCATGCCAAAGATAGCCCCTGCTCTCTTACTAGGGACCCCACTTGGAGACTGAGTCTATGGGCTACATCTGAGCCAGGATTTTAGGTCCTCTCCTGTTATTCAGCTATTAAAAACAAGGAAATCATGAAATTTGCAGGCAAATGGTGGGAACTAGAAACGATCATCTTGAGTGAGGTACCCAGAAACAGAAAGACACACATGGTATATACTCATTCATAAGTGGATATTAGCTATATAATAAGAATAAACATACTGCATAAATATACTCCTAAAGATGCTAAACAACAAGGAGATCTCTAGGGAACACGTTCAATCCTCATTCAGAAGGACAAATGCAATAGACATTGGAAGCAGGAAAAGAGAGAACAGGACAGGAGCCTTCCACAGAGGGCCTCTGAAAGACTCTAATGATGGAGGTTTCAAAGCAGAGGCTGACTCATAGCCAAACTTTGGGCAGAATGCAGGGAATCTTATGATAGAAAGGTGAGATAGAAAGATCTGGAGGGGACAGGAACTCCAAAAGGAGACCAATAGAGTCAAAAACAAAAACAAAACAAAACAAAACAAAACAAAAACCCTGAGTCCCAGGGGCCCTGAAGAGATAAAAATTTTTAAACTATCAATGACTTCAGGGGAAGTAGTGAGCTCCAAAGCCCATCTGCCCTGTCTTCTCCAACCCTGAAATGAATCTTCGTTTATAAAAATGGTCATCAGTCTACTATTTAATGTCTCCGCCTCATAGAACTCACAGCTATGAAAGATCACATGACATTTTTTGAATAGGCACGAGCGGGAGTTAGATGTGGTATCGAGGTCCAAATCAGTTTGATAGGATGTCTGCATTCTACAGTTTTCAGTGGTGTGCACTTGCATAGCCTTGATTGGCATTACACGGAGCGATAGAACCCACACAAATAGGGGATGGTGTGGAGGGGGTCCGATTTCCATTCGGCTCAAACAAAACTGATGGTGTACTAGCCACATGACATTTTTGAATTAGGGGCTGCAAGTATGTGCATATATTTTTTTCTTCTCACTTGTCAGGACAGTATGACATCAACAGTATGGAATTCAGTATTTAAATATGTTACTCTATGGCAATTTACAGTGCTTCTCTTTTCAAATAGTTCTTTATAATCTTCGAAAATTTAGAATGGGAATGTATTTATCTGCAAATCTAGGGGCCCTTTCCATACTAACAAATAAGCCAGTGGTCTTATGAACAGCGATTGCACAAGTTACCTGAGTGATACATGAGGGCCATAACTACTAATGCAGTGGAAGCATGACCACACGGCAGAAAAATGTCTTTTGCTACAAAGGGTTATAGTTCAACATGATTTCTTGCTGAGGGAAGTGGAACATTTTTAAAGCCTCCTTTATCTCATGGAGGTGCTGCTGTATGCAGTCTTAGCTTCTGAATTCGCACTCATCTTTTTTTTTTTTTTCACAAGTGCTTCTTTACATCACTCTTTTGCCTCAGCAATTGAGCTCTTGTTACCAACACTTAGCTACAGAGGTGGCTGGCAGAGAGGATTTCCAGTTAATCCCTCAAGTCTCAGGACAAAGGATGTTAAAGATGACACTTGACGTGCCATTGACATGAAAGGATGCCTCCATGTCTTTCCTCCCTAGTTTCATCTGTGCCTCACTGTGGAATGGTGATTTAGTGTTCCACGCCCCCTCCCAGCCTTGATGGATGGCTGGGGCCAGGCACTCACCTCTTTCCTCCTGTCTTTGTCTTTCTGCAGCAGCCACTTGACAGATGCCTGTGGGGACTTGGGAGAACACTCCAGGAACGTGCTGTTATTTCTCACTCCGTACTGAACAATTTCAGCTGCATTTCTGTATGCTGAAAAGCAAAAATCAGACGAATGAGAGAGAACCAATTTTAGAGATTACGCTTACATTTCTCTCTTTAAAATTGTGCTCAGCATGGCTGTCACCATAGGGGCACAGGTACAATTTAAAGAGCAGAGTTTTCCATAGGGTCTAGCAGTTTTATTTAAATGTAACGTAAAAGACACAGTACAAAATTATCTAAGGTTGTGTTGGCTTGCCCTGAGGATGATAACCTAGCTTTAATCATCTACTTATTATGTGATTATCTAATTATTATAACAGCTTTGCAGTGAGATTTTCTCAATTATGAAAAGTGAGGACACGAGTCATGAAGGAATATATTATAACACGTATAATATTTGGAAGAATACACTGCAAAGGCAGTGTGAAGTGCCAGGCGAAATGGGAGTTTGGTTTTTGCCATCCGTGAACTCATACTGAGCGGGGAAAAGAAGAAGCTCAGACAGAAAGCAGAGTATGTTCACTGTGTGATGCACTGATTGGGAAGCCATGCTTTGGAGTAAAAGGAAATTAAGATAAGCTGTACAGTCTCGCTACTAGCTACGTGACATGAGACGTTACTGGAACCATCTCTGTGTTCATTTTACTCATTTCCAAAACATAGATTATGACATTTTAAAATGTTTTAATAAAAGTTTTATGGCAAATATAACACTTAGTGAAAACAGGCAGATGTTAAAACAAGAACAGAAAGCTTTATTTATAAATCAGGGATAGAAATCAATGTTGGTACAGGTTTTAAACAATGAATGAGATCATCACATGAAAGTGTTTGAGCCAAAGCTCCGAGCTACAGTCACCACAGATATTTGACATTACCTCAAGTGCCACTATTCTCATCCTTGTGACACGGGGCATTATAAGCATGAACTGACATAATGTTCCATAAAAGTACTCCATGAATAGCAAATGGCAAACTGGATGTATTCCCTGAATTAGACGTAGGAAACAATGAAACAAAACTCTGCCTTAGAGTTGTATCTTGGCAGGGAAAGGAATGCTATTCTTTACTACAAGAAGGCTCAAATGGGTGGTAAGCATGTGTCTTCATCTCCAGCCCAGGTAGCCTGAAGGTGTGGTCTGCTCTCCCACAGATCTGAATGCTAGGGCTACAGATGTGTTTTGACATTCTTCACTTCAGTTCTTGTTTTAATTTTATAAACTTTAAAATATAAACATTTGCACACGGTTTTATCTTTAAAACCATATGCCTGCAGCATCAGGAGAAAGAGCTGTTTGAGGTAGAGACAAGTGATCCATGAATAGTTTACCAGCATGGCAGCTCTTTGTCAGGACAAGGAGGAAGGGGTTGGGGTAATTGTAAGACAGGGAGGGCCTGGATCTCTGAAGGATTATTCTCTGCAATTGTAGACCTGAGAACAGTACATATCTCTAATAGTGGGCTGGAAAAGTGTGGGGGGGGACTTCACTTATCTGAGATGTAGGTGAGGGAGAATAGGGGATACAGGGAGAGTGGGTGGGATCAGGAGGGGTGGAGAGAGAAGGCTGTGATTGGGATTTAAAGTGAATAAATAAATAAAATTTAAATAAAGGGATGAGTAGATAAAATGTGCTACAAACAAATAATGATTTTTATAAAAAAGAAAAATTTATACACATGTTAAAGAGTAAAGGAACTTTGAAAAGATGAAAAGAGCTACGTATGACATCACAAATCCTGTGTGATTCCACCATGAAAGTATCTAGAATAGTCAAACTCTGGTTACTGGCAGGCACTAGGGGAAGGGAATGATTAATAAGTATTCAGTAACCACAGTGGTTAAGTTTGGGAAGACAGTAGGCGTCACACAAAGCCTGGCAGATGTTTACACAGTATCAATATTCTAAACAGCACAGAGGTCTATGGTTCAAAATAATTAAAATCACAAGTATCTTGTGTCTGTTTTCCTCAAAAATATGGTGTTTACTGTGTTGGTACATTTCAAAGGCAAAGCTTTTGCTCTGTATGAGAGACTACCTGCTCTCAGGCAGCCATGCACTCACTCCAGAGCACTCGTCTTTGTTGTTGTTGCTGTTTGTTTCTGTGGTCCAGTATTCACACAAAAAGCACTCAAGTTTAATTAGCACCAACAAATGCTGTGCAAACTGGTGATGACACGGTCTTAGGTGAAAGACTTGAGTGGAGCTGCTGTTGTGCGCCATGCTTGACCCCCGCTCCCCGCTCGTACCTTTCAGATTGAACCCTCGGCATTGCGTCAGTGGATTCCCGTGCCTCACATCCTGTCTGCGGCTCCTCCTGTAAGTGAGGGAAAATGTGAAAGGGACTTGGCATTAACGACAGCCATGCTACATTGAAGACGCCCCAGCTTAAACACAGCAGCCGATTGCCTAGCCTTTAATTCAGAAAGCAGATGAGAGAATCTCGTTTTCTCCCTCAGCTACCTGACCACTGTGACTCTCTATCTAGTCAGTTCCTCTCCTTCTGTCTTCTGAGAGGAGACAGTAACAGAATTCCTAGATCAATGCCAGGTGGATGCTAGATATCTAAATAACTGCATCAAAATTTATTTCTCTAAAATGAAAACTGATAAACAAACAACAGCTTTTTTCTTCTTATAAAAGTTTCCCTAAATAAACATGCATTCGTTTAAAAGTTACTACTCTATAGATGTTTTAAAACTTTTTTGAAATATAAATTGTATTGCTGAATATAAAGAAAAACAACTTCTTCTTAAAAGATTTTCAGGTTTCTAAAAATGTGCATATGCATACAGTGAATTTTAAAATGTTTATGTGCATATTGTTTCTATATATGCTGTATTGTCTCTCATGTAAGTGTATATATATATATATATATATATATAT